GCCAGCGTCGCTGTCGTCTTCGGTGTCCGTCAGCAGCTGCTTCCTCTCAGCCTGCATCTCCGCCTCAGAGATGATGCCGGGATATTCAGGAGGGGGTTCATCCACGAGCTTCTGCTGAAGCTCATACTTCCATTCAGCGGTCCATTGTTCAACCGTAGAAGGGCACACTTGGCCCATGATGGTCCTGTATTCCTGGTCCATGAGAGTCCAGTTGTTCACCCCTCCAACCATCTTCCCACCTTGTGCAAATATATAGCTCCTTGATTTCATCATGGTTGCTTGACAACTGTTGAACTTTTCGGAAGGGTAGTACTTCAGGGCTCTAGGTCTGTCCAAGGGATAGGAGATGGTGGCTTCTAATTTGGTCCTCTCCAGCGCCAAATGAGCATTTGGAGACTCTGGCACCACTCCAGATTGGACATTTAAAACACTATCTGTTGGGTTGAGGGTTTGGGATATTGTCTCTTCACTCTTGTCGTGATCCTGCCTGTCTCCCGTACACGGTCCAGAGGCAGTCTGCGCAACATCTAAGGTGTTCTTGCTGTGATCTGTAGAGCCCAGTGCAATTGGAGCCAAGGCGGAGCGGAGGCTCCCTTGGCGTTCTGGAGACAAATGCAACTTTGGATCTGCTTTACGCAAGGCCAAGGCTGGGGACATTGGGGTAGGGGGCAGGTCCTCGTAGGCTAGCTCATCGCCATGATACCGGTACATGCTGTAGCCATCAGAACTGTTCACGCTGCTTTGCCTGAGGAGGTACGCCGTGTCACACTCGGAGGACGCCCGGGAGCGCGTGTGAGTCAACTCGGCTTTGTCAATGCCGGCCAGTTTTTCCATGGCATTGGCCATTCGGCTGGAGAGCTCTTCCAGCTGAGAAAGTCGAAGGTCAACCGTCTGAAGGGAGGCTTTCATGAAATGTTCTCTTTCGTTCACTTCTTCTAATCTCATAGACATGTTTTCAACTCTATAGAATTCAAAAGAGGAGAGAAAAGATTGAGCAATGTAAACCTGGACCACTTGGCCTGTTTTGCACTACAACAACAACAACAACAACAATTAGTATTATTCTTTTCTTATATCCCACCTTCCTCCCAATATAGGGACTCAAGGCAGCAATTATCAGTCTGGAACAACAACTGAGGAAAGACGGTGCTGGTTTCTTAATAGTTAAGGGTTCTAATTATAATTAGAACAATTGTACAATTTGAACAATTGCAATTAGAACATAATAAAATGGTGTCCCGTATGCCAAAATCAAGGTTTGCTTTTGGAAATTAATATAAATGTATATAAATATTATATATAAATTTATATAAATTTCTTTATCCATGGATCCATGGATTCAACCAACCACAGCTTGTGTGTGTGTGTGTGTGTGTGTGTGTGTGTGTATATATATATATATATATATATATATATATATATATATACACACGCACACACACAATTGTACAATTGAATATATATATTCAAGCCATGGTTGGTTGAATCCATGGATAAAGAATCCATGGATATGGAGTGCTGACTAAACCAGCTTGTTTGATCTGGAGGAGCTCATTTTAATTCAAGAAGGCAAATTTATTGGATAGTGGTGGGCACATATATTGTAAGAAAGCTCCCTTTATTCTGATATATTACTCTGGAGAAGATGCTATTAAAGATGGTTTTTCTTGCTAACCATAAAAGTGGGTTTCTTCTGAATGGTATGTTTCCTTGGGATTCCTTCAATGTCTCACAAAGACACTTCTCTTGAATCCAGTGCTTCCTCTTCCTCACAACAGTTGGGGAAAATAGAAGAACAATTTCACCAGATACCTTTCAGAAGTAACTCTGATACGTTCATCATTTGAAGACTGTTCTTCATCCTCTTTTTCACGGAAATACTCCTCCACGCATTGTTCCTCGAATTCATATAGCTTTTTCAACTCTTCATCATTTAGAAACAGCTCTGCAAGAAATTGAGGGGGGGGGGGATGTTCATGTATTTTGCTTTCTTTTTCTACTAAATTCCAGGATGTCCTACTAAAATCTAGGAAACCCAGGTGATGTAGGTACATGTGCCTATTCTTTCCATGTTATTTCTGCTTTGGTACCAACTTTTCTGTTAAAGAAGCAATGGCCAGAAACATATCTGCTTTGTGAACTGAGGCATACCTAAAAGAAAAGAAAAATATGGGAAGATGAAAAGTATTTTTCTGTAAATTACACAACAGTGGGGTTAGTCTTAAGGCTTTCTCATCAAGTATCATTGAGTACCAATGACACAAATGCCAATGTGGAGTCCAGTATCCAAAGCAGCTTCATCATTTGGAAATCAGCTAAAGGAAATTAACGATTCCCAAACTTTGATCCTCCAAGTGTTTTGGACTTCAGCTCTCATGATTCCTGGACATTGGCCATGGCAACTGGGACTTCTGGGAGTTGAAATCCAAATTACCCAGAGAGCCAAAGTTTGGGAAGCTATGAGCTAATTCATTAACAGTCCAATGCTGGCCAGAGCCACACAAAACAGAAGCAAAAGACAACATGCTCCTCTCCGATTCCATGTCTAGAGGCCAATTAAATGTGCAATTAGTGCTCCAAAAAGCAAGAAACAAGATGAGGTCCTTCAACACAACCTGAGCAAAGACATCACAATATCTTGGAGCCAGAGGATGCACCACACACACACAACTTTGTCTTCCATCACACCACCCTGTGCCCTCCCCAGCACCTGCTGCTTGTGGCAGTTGCCATGTTCTGCATTGTGACCGGTCCAGCCTTGATCACATTCAATGGAAATCATCATCATCATCATCATCATCATCATCTGGACTTGCAGCCCAGTTTGATGCATGCTAACTCAGAAGAAATGTCTGCCATGTTCAAAGAGTCAAGTGCATACACTCCTTGGTGGATATGTTCAGGATTGTAGCTTTAGGGCTAGTTCACATGACTCAAGGGACATGGACTAGCCATTCCCTACCTCTCTTTTCATATCCATCTCCATCACCTGTGCCCTTGTCTGGTTACCTGGTCCCATTTCCCTCCTTCTAGATTTGCTATGGCTGACCCTAAGCTTCACACACAGCTATAGAACAGAGCAGGCTTCTTCAGGGATGGCATTTCTGCATTCTTCCACACATTCAGAATCATCCCTGCAAATAAAAGCTAGCCTCTCAGGGGAAAGGGCTGACCCTAGCGCAGCCTGCTTTGCAGCCTTTCTCCTTGCAGGGAGCTGTCTGCTGAGGACTGCAGGTGGACCCTTCAAACTCATTCTCCCCAATGATGCTCCGGCCGGCCACCCGCACAAGCACAGCTCTCCCTCCTCATTCGTACTCAGCCCTCGGTCGCGTTCGTCTTGTTCCCCTTCTTTTTGCTTCTTGCAACGGCAGCAAAGGCGAATAATGATGATGTAAAGGTGGCTGAAGATGATCATGGGTGGGGGAAGCACCGGCCTGTCATGGAAGGTCATGATGAGCTGATACCGTTGGAATTTCCAGACTTGGTTGGAGATGGACTTCACCTCAAAGAAGGTGTTGCTGCAAAGAGACACACCACCATTGTTCACACAATCACAAAGCTGGAAGAGACCCCCGAGGGCCATCCAATCCAATCCAACCTCCCATGAATACCAAACCCCCCCATGAATATGCCCCATGTATACCAAAATCCTGAGGCAGGTCTCCCTTATCCAGAATGTTTGGAACCAGAAGTGTTTTGGATTTTGGATATTATTATTATTATTATTATTGATTTTGGACTCCTTGTATCTGCATATATGTGCATAATGAGATATCTTGGCGATGGGACCCAAGTCTAAACACAACATTTGTTTTTGTTGATACACTTTATATGCATAGCCCGAAGGTAATTTTATACAATATGTTTAATCATTTTGTGCATGAAACAAAAGTCTGTGTAGGTTGAATCATCAGAAAGCAAAGGTGCAACTGTCTCAGCCACCCATGAAAACAGTTTTGGTTTTTGGAACATTTCGGATTTTGGCATTCCGGATAAGGGAGACTCAACCTGTAGCTTGAGGAGGCGCAAGAGTTTCCTGGCAGAGAATTCTGAAAACCTCACGATCTACAAATCCCACAATGTCATGGAATGGAACCATAGCAATGAAACTGAAATGAAAGTGCTCCAGTTTTGTATTGTGGAAATGCAGAATTGTACCCCTTCATTGGGGTGTGCATTGGGATTGCACCCCAATTCTTATGGTTGAGACAGTGCAATGGGGTTTGGCCCCAGAGACTCCTTGATCCCTATCAAGCATGGATTGCATTAACAACAGCATGATCTACTTCCTACAATGCTGACTTTATTTTTGGTCCCTTCAGAGAACTGCCTTTGTGTGCGAGAGAGAGAACCCTTTTCTCTTTTTCGTCTTCTTCTTCCTTAAAATTTAGCTCTGTGACTGGCACTCATGTGACCCCCTTTAAAAAAAAATATGCACATCCTTTTCCAGCTATTGAGCATTTAGCAAATAAAAGACGGTTTGTGAGAGAAGCCAGTTTCAAAGGAAGGCACCGAAACTGGGAACAGTGCCCAGGACAATGGACGTATCTGTGCCCGAGGGCTCTCCAGTTTTGGACACAAGAGAAAAAGGTTTGGTGGAGCAGTAAATATCAGCATTTGTCTCTTCTTGCATTTTTGGGTGCTAGGTATGAAACATTTGGGATGTGGTGCTGAAGAAGAGTGCTGAGCATATTGTAGATCTCTTTTGGATAAGGGAGGAAAAGAAAGAGTGAAGGGACATCACTGGGCAAAAGAGAAACTCATTGGAGGGCATTGGGCAAGGAAGACACTCACTTGAAGACAGCGATCAGCAGGTTGACCAGTAAAATGTTGGCTACCAAGAGGTAGCAAGCCATGATCGCCGGAGTCAGCCAAGCGCCAGGAATACAAGGAGGGAGCCGTTTGCCATCTTCATCAAAAAGGTTGTCCCCACATGGAGCTGTGGATGAATTTGGATCAGTTTTACGATCTGCAGGACATACAGTCTTTCCAGACGGAGAGCCAGTGTGGCGTTGTGGTTTGAGTGTTAGACTACGACTCTGGAGAGCAGGGTTCGATTCCCAGCTTGGCCACTGAAAACCACTTGGGAAGTCACACTCTCTCGGGGGAAGGCACTAGCACACTTAACAAACTG